CAGTTTGACCGGAGTAAAGCCAACTTTGCTTTGATAGTATGGTGCCTAAGTGAGCTACAACCATTCTTTTATATTGCACACTATACAAAATTACTAAAATGATTATAGAAAGGAAAACATCTCATCACAAATAACTTGAACTATCGAACTATGACTTACAGGAAAATCACATAATGTAGGCTTTGGAACTTCCATTGTCAACAACAACTAACCAAGACAACTGATCAACACGAGATGACTTTAGATAATTTATACTAGCCTCCAGAAATAAAACCATAGAGGACTAGCTATAACACCTAAAATAGAAGGGGCAAGTAGTAGGTTCTGGGGCAAAAAAAAGGAGAGTCTATCTTTTTATGACCCACACCTACCAGTACTTATTTATCCATCCCATAAGTACCACCTGATTGTTTCTGTACAGGAAAAGTGGTGAGAGTCACCATTTTCTTGACCTCTTTCCCTCTGAGCCAGCTCTAGAGAAAGTGCTCATCCAATGCTTGCTCCGTTGTGTTTCTAGAGAAGAAAGGATTACTTTTCTCCCATTTTACCTTTTACTTTAGTCTCGTCAGCTCTCAACATTTTGCCTTATCTGAAACCTGCATTTTAGAGGGTTGTGTGGGACAAAAGGAAGGGAGGACCATCATTCTCCAATCTCTAGAAATAGTGAGGAGCAAGAAGGTGTGACTCTCACCATTTAGCTTTATTCAGAGCCAGTAAGGCAAGGTGCAATTGTGGGACAAATAAATAAAGATCCCTTTTGGTCTAGGTCCAGTATTTCTACACTAATAGTATCAATATTACATCAATTTTCTTGCAGCCCATAACACAATGTTGCCAGAAAAATCCAAACTCCATTTAAACATAGATAAAAAAAAATATCATCTGAGTTTGACACTAACCAGGATTAGGGGATGAAATACAATATCCTTGTTTGTCTGGCTAAACTGCATGTTTCGTGGTGACGGCCACGTCTTCCGGTTGATCTTCTTCTACAGTAGGTACTGTACGTCATAAAATTCAAAATTGGACACACATGTTGACAAAGATACATTTAAAATAAGACCACAAATTAGTTCGATCAACGTCTCAATATGTGCACAGGTTTGGTCAGGCTGATAATACAATATCCAGTTGCTAGAAGAGGATGTCTAAGGAACATGTTGGCCTAAGTTACTAACAAGACTACAAGTTCGCCTCACTCATCTTACACTCATCTCCATTCGTATTCGGATTCGGCTTAAAATACATTTGTTTGGTAGCCATTTCAGAATAAAGTAAAGAATAAACCTGAAGATACCAGAAGACTTTATACAGTTAAGACATCAGCCACAAAACATCAAACGTTACACTTGCCACAAAACATGTAGTTTACAAAATACTTTCTATTAATATACATATCAGACGTAGGGCAGTGAATTTTGAAAGAATTTCTCTATCGTTACCATTCATCTCTCTGCTAGATCATAAGCTTACAAATGACTCTTCAATCCTAAATTGTTTGAGGTGGACGGCTAAAAAGGGATGTGAGAGAAAACCATTATTGTATTAAATATAGAGATTTATGAAATGTCTTTGGTTTCAGACGAGTATGGACCCCCACCAGTATACCAGAGAGAGCAGCTGATTCCCCCACAGCAAAACCAAGGGCGATTTTTCCCTGCGGTGGGGCCAGGTCTACCACGGATACCTCCGCCCGAACCTTACCTCCCCACTGGCGAGTACATGAATCCTGCACTGATGGGTCTATCCCAGCACACTACTGGTGAGTTATTGAACAAAGTGTAAGAGAGTATTGAACCACACCATGAAACAGCCATCAGTAGACACTTAGATAAGGAAATTCAGAGTGGAACAACTTAACCAAACTTGAGTAGAAGCAGATGAGCAAGTTGTGTGAAAATGCTCAACAAAAACCAATAAAAAGAAGTAGCTATGATAAATTAATTGTAGATGAAAAATGTTGCGCAACACTCATATTTGAGCCACAAACAACTTAAACTGTAAAATCAGCTAATTTAGTATGCAGGAATTGGGCATTCCCGCTCTAGAGCGGAAACAAGCTATTTTACGTACTGTTTACAGGTGTGGCAATGTGATAATTTCCATGCATTGGAAAAAATATGTTGATGCCAATGGTAATTGAAACACAAAATAAACCAGAGATGAGCAAATATATGTATAGTAAATCTAAAATTAATAAACCTACAGATTTTGTTTTTACAAGATTTTAGATTTTTTAAATTTGTCTGTCAAAGAACATTGATTATCCATATTTGTGAGACTACAAGATTATTTATAACTTATGATCGCATTGATGATTGCTGCTATAAGTTAAGAATAAAGATACAAAATTATTTCCCCTTAGCTAGGTTGTATCATAGACAAAAGAATTAAATATAGACCGACAGCAGTGCTGCGATTAGCAAATATTCCACTAGGAGTGCTGTGTAGTTTCGGCGCACACTGCATGCTGCACCGTCAAGCGCTAGTGAGTGTTGCCAGTACAAGTTAGTAGTTGGAGCCAGGGTTGCTAACTTCTGGAGAATTCCCCAGAATCCGGGTGGTGGGAGTTTGTTCCGTTATTTTTCTGTGTTTTAAAAATTTCTGGGAAATAAAAAAAATTGGACTTTTCCATTAATATCACGGTATTTCTGAATTTTGTACTTTACACATATTGAAAAGTGGGTCTGATACGTTGGTAGCATTTCGTTTGCAAGGGTGATAGTGTTGGTAGCAGACGGCGAGTCGAAGACGGCAGCAAATTTACGAACACTGAGCACGCTCTAGCACCACATCGCAGAATTAATACTTTTGTCTGGTTGTATATTTCCAAAACAAATTTAATGAATCAAAAACCTATGTTTCAGAGGTGACATATGATCCTCTCCTGATCACTGGCCCTGAAGCTGCCCAATATGTGAGTTACCTATTCAGCAAAGGGGAGTTGTTCTTTAATCTGATTCCACATGAACGACTTGTTCTTATGAACCAACAAGACAGAGTCAAGAACAATCTACTTCCACATCTCCTAGCAAGTATAAGGCCGGGGCATCCGTTTTTCTACCATAGATAGCTAGCTTTTAACCCTGAATCTTTCATTGTAGAAATACCAATGCATTAAGGTCAAATTGAAAAGTATTTAAATTTTGCATTCGTATGAACTTATTAAATTATTTTTATTTGAGTTATTGTGAAAAATGTGATATTTTTAACCTAGAGACACAACAAAAGTAAAGTATGTATGAAAAGGTTAAACAATGTAATTTTAACAAAGAAATTGGTTACATATTTATATTATATGTATATTAACCAATTCTTGTGCCATACTAAAATCAATTGAACACAAATCAAAAGACAAAAAAGAAACTAATTAGGTCCGTTATTGTGACCATTATAAAGTTACCTAAATCTTACCTTATAGTTACCTGATAATAAAGTTAAGAAGCTATACAAATAATCTACTAGTAAGAAATATAACTTTAGGGGAATCACTATTTCTAATCACTTATTCCTTGATGACAAATTTATACTATTAAAAAATACTATAAGTGGTTTAAAATATCTGTATTATCCGTAATCAAATTGGTTTCTGTGGCAACTAGTTTCGGCTCACATTGGCCACATCATCAGGTATTACGAGAACAGGATTGCTTCTTCTTCAGGTCGTCTTATTTCACATATATTTAAAAACAACGAAAACACAACACGGATGACTAGAGTTTTTTAACGACGTCAGGCAGTAGTTTACGTGTAGACTGTACGAAACTAGTTGCAACAGCAACTAATTGGATTACTGGTACAGGTATTTTAAACCACTTATCCTATATCATGTTAATCAGGAGGATACCCATCTTGAAAAATTACATTAAAAAATGCTTCAAGAATAAACAATTGTTTTCCAACATTATACATTAAGGCAGTAAAATTGTACAGTATGTAAATAAATAATCTGTGAGATGTTTGTGAGAAATATATAAAAAATACAATTTTTCTTTGGTTTCAGAATTATTTTTAAAACCTTCGCAGATTTTTTTTAGAAAAGAACAGAGGTAACACTGAAGTATAATTAGGTACTATGTACACTGATTTTGTGGTGTGTGGTGCGGAATCCTAACGAAGATGCGTAAGGTCATGGACGCACGTTAAACACTCATTGTGGAAGTGTACAATACATTGGAGTGTAAAAAAAACATGTCACACTCCCTGAAGATGTCTTACAGCATGGTGTCTAGTTTAATATAAATCCATGGTACAGGAGGATTAGTATTAAAAACAGTTGCAAGATCAAAGGTTGCAAAGTAAGGTGGCTTGACTATGAATTTAAAGTTCTTACCACTCTGGGCAAACAAATACAATCAGCAGTATCAGTAATCTGACTCATAATCTCTCTGATTAGCTTGTCAACAACCCTTATCATGGGTAAGCAGTGAGAGTAGCTATGATATTTTATAGGAATTTAAAAAAATGCAATAACTTTTGAATCATAATTTTTACAACAATGAGAGTTGTACCGTTTTGTTTGGAGTTAAAAAGAACTATAAGATAATAAATAATAACAAAAATCGTTTATTTATTATTTTTTAAGCTCTTCAATATGGTCTAGAGAAAATTTGGGAAATTTTAAGTTTTTAGGGTCAAATACAAGAAAACCCAAAAAGAAATTTTTACCAAATTTCATCGAAATCGGATAATTTTTGTTCGAGCTATCGTGCTAACGGACACACACACACAAAAAAATTAAAAACTATATATTTAAAAGAGACGTTAAAAGAGTTATCTTATATGAATTTGAACGGATAGTGTTATTGGCTTCTAGGGACATTAAGATGAAAAAGTAAATCGGTCCCGGGTCCAAGTCTTACCATGAGACCTACGGTAATAGCTTATTCCCTATATGGGAAATTCGCTAAAACAAATATTTTATAATTATATTCACATAATACGTTGAGGGTCTTTAGGTTTGAATTTGAAATTAAAAACAGAAAACATTGATACAGCAATTCAAGATGTATTTTTTATTATCAGAATAGAACGTCAGTAGAAAACATAGAGACAACAGATTACGACTTCAATAACTTACTGCTAAATGTTAAGTTTATATTTAATATGCAAGGATAATTTATTACACAATTAAATGAAGCAAAAACACAATAGTAGGTCGATGACTTTAACTTTAAGTTGGTAAAAAAATGTGTAGTGAACTAGTTCTTTCGATGAGAAAAACTTACAATTATAATAACCAACACAAAAACATAAGCTATGGTTTCCAATTTCATAATATACCCTACGTAACATACATATTTCCAATGATAAATAACATTAAATGTCATAACCATCAAAAAACAAATTTTGTCATAACTTAACAGTAGTTTTTAACTAACATTGTAAACACATAAGTTTTTTACTCTTACCAAGGTAACTGATTAAAATAATATTACTCTGAGGACCTTTCTAGTTCTGCGGGAACAAACCCATCTTAAGTAAAACAAAATAGATTTCTGTCTTTTAAACCTTCTCCATCAATAATATAAGTAATAATATTTATAAGTAAGCCAAATTTCTTAGCGAACGGTACAACTGTTTTTGAGTGTAAGAACTTCAAACGAACAAATAATACAGGAAATAACAACATACTCTTTTAAATATATGTGGATAGTTAAGAAACAAAATTCAATAAGTTGCGTACCCAAACATATCTATATGAAAAATTGAAAATTAAGAAGTTAAACGGGGCAAAGCCCGCGGGTTACAGCTAGTCTATATGAAAAATAAAAATGTAACTCTATCTTGATTTAAAATTCTTCTTTGCAAAAATTAACAGTGATTAATATCAGACAATAATTCTAAAGTCTGTAAGATGGAACTTGTCTCCTGACCCCCTGTCTATATTGGGACTAGCCAATGATTTAAGATGTAGGCCTCATTTCTATGACTAAAAGAAATAAAATTTAGCTTTAAACATTATTATTATCCCTAAATGCACATTTTACTATTTTAAAATGTTATTAATCAATACGTCAGAAAAACATCTAAAAAATATAATATGATAAATACACACAGAAAAACAATACAAGTCATATTTTAGTTTATTAAATTGAATAAAGGGTACAGTGGACTCGTAATCAAAAATTCTGTCTATGTCTGACAAATAAAAGATTTCATGACTGGTCGAACAACTGTAGTTACTTTTTGTACACTACTGAAGCGTCGGAAGAATTATAAGAGAGGAAAATAGTGTTTGGCACATAAAGGCACCAATAGGCCTGGCATATTAAAAAATAAAGAGACTAATACTATATCTATATATAAAGAGTTAACAACATTCATGTAAGAGGTACGATTATAAAAGATTTACCATGAATTACTGAGAAAAAGTATCAAGAACTACTTTTACAATACAGTAATTTATAACTTGAAATGCTATTTTACATTCTAAAAACTTATTGAATACTGAAATACACTAGAACAAATATTAGATAAGAATCTTTTAAACTTAATAACTACTCTACTATAGTTAGGAAACATTGTGTTAACAAATTTGAACACATTTCAAGGTAACTATGTACCTAATTGATTTTTTGTAAAGAGAAAACTCCTTGAAATTGATGAATAGAATATAAAAATAAGATTACTGTAACTTATGATCTGAAAGTTTAATTCAATCTATGTGAAATTACTTCTGTATTGGTGTATTAGAATCAACTGATGACGAATATATCTTATATCTATAAAGTAGGCCTATTACTAATAATACCTCCACAACCACCCTTTCCTCTTACCCTGTACCTATAATACCTAGAATATCCATGCTTCATGCACACCATCCATTTACACAAATGAAACTAAATAAATACGAAGCATTTAAATATAAAATTTTGACATAATGCTACAAATTTGATACTTGATTTGCACATGTAATTCTTCTGACCCTTAAACGATTGCATTAAAATGGGTTGTCAAGTCGGTGGGGGCACGTTAATGGAGTTAAAAATTTTTATAAAATAAAGACAAAGGGTACAATAAAGCAATATTATGATTGATTTTTGCACACAGCTAGTAGTATTTTTCTGTCTTTTCTGTAAAGGGACTAATTTCTTTTTTTTACATATAAGTTACAGGTCTAATAACCAAAGATATTCTCAACAGTTTAGTGAATATAGTAAAATAGTTTAATCTTGATCGGTGCTCTAGTGACCTGTAGAAGGCAGCATATTTGCCACCTTGGTGTCCCTGACACACAGACAGACTGATATTGAGATAGTACTTATTTCGACTATCAAAAATAACGAAAAACTTAATGATAAAATAAACTGTAAACCAATTATGGATATGCAATCATAAAGCAACTAGTCATTCATATAGGCCTATCTACCGATTTTTACATCTGTTCAATAGATTTTACATAAGAAAATTTGTCCTGAAAGACTAAGTATATGGCTAAGCTGAATGGTTTAAGTGTTTGCCTGACATTTGCCTAAATGTCGCCGGTTCGATCCCGAGAAAAGCCAGTAGCTTTTTTATGGTCCGAAACTGGACCCAGCTGTTCCTGATAAATGGGATTTACATAAATGATCCTGGCTAATGAAACAGCTGATATTAGTCAGTAACAAAGCTACACAGATCATCTCACACCATTCTATACTCAGTTTTCACTCATATTTGGGTTAAAAACGCACCTAGGTGATGTCCCCATCTCGAATTGATAATTGATACAGCTTAGAAACATAAGATTTCCTACAGAGAATTTCAAGAGGAAGATAGTTTGTGTTCATGTGCAAACCAAGCATTTACAAACCACCAGTATTACTTAACTTATTTAAACACTAAAACAGCACCAGATAACATAGTTTCATTTCCGATAAAAGCACAAATACACATCAAATTATTGCTATTAAATACTAATTGTGTGCATATTCAACTGAGTTTAAAGATTGTCATGAGAGGTTATCTTTACATAAAAATGATTTTGTTTTCTAGCTTTGTTTTGTTAATTAATGAGGTACCATAATACACCATTAACAGTACTCGATAATGGTGTGTCGAGTTTAGTTTTTCTAGTATGGGCCGTTAAAAAAATAACAGGGGGTCTCCACACTTTTTACTAACCCTGTATATAAAATCCAATGTATGTATGTTTGTTTGTTTGTTTGTCCTTTATGGACTCCGAAACCGCTCGACAGATTGTAATGAAACTTTCAGGCATTATTAAGCATTATTCAAGGATGGTTTGTGTGAAGTTTGGTGCAGATCCGTCAAAAGGGCTCCGCACCAGTGGCTCTGGAGATTCCCATGTTAACCTTATGAGTACTCATATTTAAATGGAATTAAAGAATCTTAACAGCTGGTTCAACTAAACAATTTGATTCTGTGATAGTAGTTTGATTCTCAATATGATTGGTAGTTGATTCTCAATAGTATTAAAAAGTTTATATGTTTACCAACAGGGTGCAGCACTATTATTCTTTATAAATTTATGACAACATCTAATTTGCAACCAAAAGGTGAGTGAGCGTAGCGAACGAACTTCAACCAGGACGTGATTGAGCCATGCGAACAAGCTCATCTTGAAAATGAACGAGCATTTGACATAAAACCACATTAGGACAGGACGACGTCTGTCGGGCCAGCTAGTTTGAAATATACTATAAAAAACTAGAGGCTCATAGCAGCAATTGCTGCCCTTCACATTTGTTGAAATTTGTCCTTAACCATTCCCTATGCTGTGCATCATTCCTAAATACCCTTCTTCGTAGTCGTGGTCTTCCCCTAACATGATACATTTCAACACTGCATTACCACTCTAACCTACAAACAGAACACTAATAAAAATCAATGAAAAACAAATATGCAATGTTTACATCAGCTGGTATATTTAAAACAGCTTGAAACACTGTAGCAGTACTTCCATTAGACAATTTGGATCTGACGGCCTGTGGGGCAGAGCAGGGGCAATTTTGGACATTTCTGATGTTTTTCCCACCGTCCTTGGACCTTAAACTTTAAAATAAATCCTTGACAGTTATGCTAACTTTATCCTAGCTCGAAATATTTCGAGGGGACCGATTCGCTTACGGAATTAAATATATAGACATCTTTACAAAGCAAAATGCAAGCCAATCGCTTTTATAGAAATATTTTATGTATGGGAAGTATCACTACCTAATAAAATGTAATCTTAAACACTAAAGTAAAAAGCATGCTTTTTAAAGAGCATCAATCTTTTTTTCAATGTAATATGCACACAAATACCTTAAACTACAATTGGAAAAACTAAAATTTGTTCCTAGCAACAATCTGCTCAAAAGTCTGTTACAGTAGATTTTAAAAATCTATAACTAACTACAAGTGTGAGAAAAGCATTGTAAGAATGTTTGAAACTAGGCCCACACAACATCGTCTCTATGCTTAAAGTATACCTAGATCAGGCACTCTATCACAACTATTAGCATGACGAAAAGGTTTTATTGGCACATGTAACACTGTGGAAATTGAGAAATTGAAGTTAAAAAACATGCAAATGAATTCCTACAGATTAAATGCACACTGGTTAAATTCTCAAACTAAACTATTTTTGGAATGATTTAAGAAATGCAATGTTTTCATTACGATTAGTAAAATTCAATTACCACACAAGTTACATGTTAATTTGTTAGCCTAGATAGCAAACGAGAAGGAAGAACAAACAAACATAACAAAAATAAATTCTCAAACTCAACAAGAAACTCCAAAAAGAGTTTATAAAAATATTTTATACGAATTAGACTTTTCCCTGCGTTGACCCTAACCCACTATATTGCAAGGAATAAGTTTAAAACAATTAAAAATGAATATCACAGTTTGTAATGGAGAAGTATTCTGTTAAGAGAGGATTTCTTGGACCGTGCCTTCTTGTTGGATGAGAAGAGTGTGTCTTCTGATCTTGAGCAGAAGAGTTTCTTGGGTAGAGTGAAGACGGACAAAGACTAGTTCATCGATCACATGACTACCACGAGCAGACTGCTGCCAGTCGTCTAAGGGGCACTCTTCCTGCGTGAACAAAACATAACCTGTCACACTCAGTATGTGCCGTAACACTTCCAATCAAACTTTAGATAGCTAAGGGATTGCAATCCCCCCTCCTAAAGGTGTCCAAAGGGGGGAGGGGGGATTGCAACCCCTGTGCCCAAAGGATAACAAAACAGATACCGGTAGCTTATAAAACTGATATATGTTGTGAAGATTAACCGACTCTGTGGATTATTCAGTGAATTAATTATGCATATTCTTACGTTCTTATTTACATTATAGACACAACAATCAAAACCATTCAAACAAATTTTGTTGTCATATTGGATCCAAACAGCTGTTTTTAATACATGCATTGCAAGGCTTTTTACATGCATTGCTCTTTTTCTCCCTAGGGAAAACAAATCAGGTGGAGTTGACGACATTAGCTGTATATTTAATACATATAAATTCTTTTGCTAATTTTGTAAAAATTGATTGAAGTAAATTTCCCGATTTACACAAATTTTATCATGTCATTATAACAATTTAATTTTGTTTATCATAGAGTCATTTTACACTACTCTAATATGTACATTTAAACAAACTCTGAAATGAAAAAGAATTCTAGTAATTGCAAATTTTGTGTTGGCAGATTAATATGGGTTGCATCTCAATAACACATACAACTGTTATAATAGCAAAACAAGAAGGAAGTCATTATGACAGCTTTAAAAACGTAAATAGTTTATAAAATTGATGTTATGTGATTCCAATTTTATTAGCTTAAAAATTGTGCAATATCACAACAAATTGGTTTATCCTAAGGACCAGAAGTGTATTTTAGACCCTTGCTTATTTTCTTACCTCTGCATAGCCTCAAACTTGAACTTCAGTTGAAAAGACTTTAGGCCCAGGTGATGTAAGTTATTTTGTGGACACACACATAGTGAAAGGAGAAGCAAAACAATTTCAAAATGCCTGATTTGAGGCGAAGCTCACATAGAATTCAAAGCCATCCACTGTTAATTTTGTGTTGGTCTATACTCTACTATCGAGCTCATAAACGAGTGAACTCATAAGATCTGACCGGGATGAGATTCAAACGCTCAATCTACGCTACTGTTTCCTCTCTCAATAGACAATATCTTGGATTGCTCGGCCATTGGTCAGACCAGTCTACCGCATGAGAACCCTGGTCAACCGAAAGCCTGAGCATAGAAATGTACCCACCAGACAATTACTGGTGTATTACCATATTGTATGGTTATTTCAGTGTAGTTTTTTTTTTTTTTTTTTTTTTTTTTTTTTTTTTACACGTTGAGGAGGGAAAATGCTTTTACGCACATAGGTAGCCAGCCTGTAGTGTGAGACTTCTGAATTTATCAGACTACTCACTAAAAAACCCCCTCTACTCTGTTGGACCTGGAATTGCTTGTCACATTACTTTGTCAGCCAGCCAGGCCAACATGTGACCTAAGCCCTCAGGGCTCGCACCTTTTCTGGCATTTAGATTCTTTATGACCTACACCGTATACCGGTCAAAGTCGAGCTTCTTGGCGCAGAGGATACCCTAGATGTAATGTGACTCACCCTCCGTCATCATCGGTATGACAGTGTCCACCGACAGCAGTCCTACTAACTGTTGAGCCTCTAGCCTTTTCCAACGATGGCAGTGGAAAAAAGTATGTTCCACGTCATCAGGAATAGGAATGCCAGGGTAGTATATGCAATTGGGTTACACAGCTTTGCTAATCCTGAACAGGTACGCCCGGAAATGCCTGACCCGTCAGAAATTGGGTGAGGTAGAAGCACCTCACTGCACCGCCAATTAACCCAAGGTAGGACTTACTGTATGAGTCGCCTGATCCAGCATCCCCGTGTCTCCTGTTCCCAGCTCTCCTGCTACAGTTGGTAGATGCAGGTGCGTTCCTCTGTTTGGGCCTGGTCCTCCCCACGGCACTGATAAATTGCCTTCATCTCTGCCAACAAAAGTTTGATGGGGATGGTTCCAGCAACCACCAGGACGGCGGGTTTGGACACCGTTTGGTAGGAAGATGCTACCCTTAGTGGTGCTTGACACTGCACTTGCGCGAGCCGCATCCTATATACCTTCTTATTGAGAGCGTCTACCCACACCAACAATAGGCTGGTACAAGAGTACGGACTGGAAAGAAGACATTAATTGCCTTCTACGACTGGACTGAGGCCCTAAGACATTGGCCGTCAACTGACTAAGAGAGGAAACCACCCTAGCGGCCTTGTTCGCTGTACGGAAGATCTGATCCCGCCAGCTAAGCTTACTGTCTACCATGACCCCAAGGTACTTGGCAGTACAACGGTTTGGACCTCAACGGCCCCCACCCTCAACGATGGTGTCAATGCGTTTTTTGTCGAAATCACTATCTTGGTTTTGCTCAAAGCGAGTGAGAGACCGCGGTCTGCCATCCATGCGTTTACTCGGTACGCATAACTCGGTTCTGCTTTAGCTGAGCCAGCTTAACGCTACGTGTAGCTATTAAAGCTGCAACATCGTCTGCGTAGCCAACCAAAGCAGACATTACCGACCTCAGAAGGCTGTCTTAAGTGACATTCCATAGTTCTGGGCCAATTATGGAACCTTGGGCAGCACCAGAAGTGACACCTCATCGTCCAATATAGTCATATATCAGTGTAGTATGACTATATTGGATGTAACGAGACAACCCCTCTGCCACCCCTGTCATGACATAGACAATATGCGCTAGGCTTCAGGCAACTTTTGGACTGCTCCCTTTCAAAACACAGTTCTGGACTGCTGCATACCACACAGTTCAAATCCTCCTAAGTTACATACTTGCATACCTGTATTTTACTTCTAATGTCTGAGTTGAGCGAACGTAGAATTGTAGTTGAGTGAGAACAAGTCTAGTATCATACAAATCTAATGTCAAGTTGTAGAACTCTAATCTAAACTAACACTGGAGCCAGCTGATCTGGCCGAACTAGATCTTCAAATCCTGCCAATCACCAATGGATTTACCTATGTAATAATGCCGCAACCCACTAGGACTAGCCTGAAGTAATGCAAAAAACAGTTCCAGGCTAGAACTAGCGTCCTAGGATGTGAAGGTGTGACATAAAAAAAAATCTAAACCAACCAATCACAAAGTAACAATGGTGGTGTTTACTTTGTTGGTAAAAAAATGCTGTTTCTGTTTGTGTAACGGTTTCAAATTGAAAAAGTTAACAGGTGTAGAATTTAAAAGAAGAGTCTCAGAAAACAATTTAAATGGGCTAGGTATCATGTTTAACCGTTTTTAGCATAGATTTAGTTGTCAGTAAGTGTAAGTTTTCTGGATAAATTATTTGCTTTAAAAAGACACTAGTCTACTAAGGGGTTTGTTTCTGATAATCCTTAACTTACAAGTATAACTCATGTAATTTATTAAAATACAGGGTTATTCAAAATAATTGTGCAAACCTAAACGGTTGGTAAGTCTGTTTCCGTGATTTCAAATAGCTGATTTGGCAATTGGCAGCAATGGAAAGGGTGTGTTTCTGTTTATTGACAAGATTTTTTTGACAAGGTTATGTTTTACCTCAGTAGCTTAGTTGAGTACAGTACCACCAAGCCTGTCAAATAAATCAAAGAATATAAACAAAAATCGAACCTATCATGGCAAAAATCTGAGTGCTTTGGCTTGTCAGTAAGCTTTAATACTTGTAATAACTGTAGTTTTTACGAGTTTTGTATCAAACGCTTGCGTAAAACCGTGGACTGCTTTATGTGAAGTGTCCTACCAGCTTTGACTGTCGAGATTTTTAGACTTCGCCAAACTTGGGAAAACTTAGCTACCACTTAGCTACTTAGCTCTCCACTACGTCTGGCGGGGTCTGAGGACAGCCCGAACTCTTCCCAGCACAAAATCATCCAGTTGTTTTGAATTGCAAGATGAGACAAAACATAACCTTGTTAAAACAAACTTATAAACACACCCTTTTCATTGATGAATCAGCTGTTTGAAAAGCAGACGTACCAACCATTTAGTTTTGCACAATTTGTTTTTAATAACCCTTTTGTTTTTTAACCTATATTGATAACAATTCTCCGAATTTTAGAAATTAATTTTCCTTTTGATTTTAAATTTGTTATGTCCTTGTTGAGGAGAAAAACATCACTTGTCTGGAGTTTAAGAGCGAGAATCAAGCCTAGCCTGAAGGTAAATTGTAACAGGTGGAAAATGCTATTTTGGCACACCCTATCACCCCTTGCTCTGCGCGACTCATTGAATAACTGTTAAAGTGATAATTGGCACAAGGGGATACAAGAGAACTCGTTATCAAAATGTTATTATGACAATACACTAAATATTTTGAAATCTTTGTAAGGTTAATTGGTTATAAAATGTAAACAAGTTTGTAGTTTTAATTTGTTTCAATACCTATTATGATTTGTCGACTTAATAATTAATTCAATGAGTTGAGTTCAAATCTTAAGTTCTCTTTATAAACTTTAGCTTTATGTAGAATAGTTTCTCTTGCCAGGATCTTAATATTATTCACCGTGACCCTTGGTTGGAATATGTTATTGATAAAATAAAAAGATTACCTTATCCAACCACAGTTGTTGGTACGCCAACTAGTTTCGTTCTTTGAACTTCATCAGGTCATGTGGTTGCATACAATGACCTGATGAAGCTTTAAGGAACGAAACTAGTTGCCATACAAACAACTGTGGTTGGATAAAGTAATTCTTTAATTTTATCAAGGATCTTCCTAAAAACAGCATTTGCTTTCTCACTGAACACATTACCCGATGTTTTAGTTTTATGAAGTTATTTTCAGTAACTCTATGCAGGCAGGAAAGCCATTCTCAGGAATCCAAACATTAAACATGCACTTTCCCTTGACACCAATGCAAATTGAAACTTCATTCGTACATCTGATAACAACCTCACCGTCATGCAGAAATATTTTTAAGAATAAAGCTAACATAAAATAACTTTTGTCAGTTACATAAACATTGCAGATCAAGAGTAGTAGAAAAGGATGGATATTAAAGATGTAGGCCTAAATGTGGCAAGGTTTGCTATCCTGTAGGATACATTTAATTAACTATATTAACTTGTATTTTTTCATTACTGCTTGAATATAAGATATAAAAGTCATTTATATGTAACTACTAAAAAATAAAAATAAAAATTCTTGTAAGCTAAACATGATAACTTTAAAACCTTGGTAGGGGAGATCCGTAGATAGGGCAGACATGTATGAAAAAAGATTTCACAAAATTGTATCCCAAATGATTGAGTGAGCTGTTTAGTAATAGGCCTATATTAAAAATTAAACATACAGATTTACATTGATTTGAATTCATATTGTCGGTTTGGCTCATCTCTTATGCAATCCTGTAAAATGATGTGTACTTCTAATGGATAAGTGATTAGTAAAAAAAGTAAATTTTTAGACCGTTAAAATTATCATAAAGGTGTAGTACTTGGTTTCTGTAAGTGGTTGTTACATCCAATGTTATTGGGATGTTTAATTTTTTTAAACCACTAAAAAAAGGCAAGACAGGTTAGTAAGCCAGACAGATGGGAGTATCACAGATATATTGATAGACAAAGACCTAGTCAAACTTGGTTCGTAGACGGTCGCGCAGTAGAACGGGCAGTAGAGAGAGCAGAGAGAAGACAGCCAGCCATGTGACAGATGTCCAGGACCAAGTACCAGACATAGACGTCAGCTGCTGCAGGGTCTGACCTGCCTGGATAGCAACAAACGACGGAGGAGCCACACCTACACAACACAAGTATAAGGTTAGGTTAGTTTATGTGTACAGTAGAGAGCAGAGAGAAGACAGCCAGCCATGTGACAGATGTCCAGGACCAAGAACCAGACATAGACGTCAGCTGCTGCAGGGCCTGACCTGCCTGGATAGCAACAAACGACTGAGGAGCCACACCTACACAACACACGCATAAGGCTAGGTTAGGTTAGGTGTACAGTAGAGAGTAGAGAGAAGACAGCCATGTGACAGATGTCCAGGACCAAGTACCAGACATAGACATCAGCTGCTGCCTGGATAGCAACAAATGATGGATGAGCTACACCTACTCAACACACGTATAAGGTTTGGTTACATAACACAAGTTAAAACAAACAAGAATATTGAGACAGAAATCAGGAATCAGAAACGTTTTATAATCCTTCAACATTTACAACAAATGCAATAGACAAAAGTCAAGAAAATTCAGCTATTACATAAACAGCATATTTTTTAGGCAAAACAAAACAAGCCTAAAAACAAGTCAAAATAGGCTATACTTATATGCTTACATTATGTCTATTGTAATACTTGTATTACTTAATGACAAATAAAGATCTTGAATCTTGAAAGTTTAATATTTGATGAAATGAAGACTAAAATAAGACAATAGCTTATTCGCTATTTGGGAAATTTGCTAAAAAGTAGAAACTTTTATTGATTATAATAGCATTTACACTTACCCAAGAATGTGCCAAACCAGAAAGGTAAGATTGGCACATTGACAATGGGTGCGGCAATGTTGATGAACCAGTTTGGCAAGAACGGAGTGATCCTTAGGAACAAAATATAGTTGAAGATGTTCCGTCGGTGCTTTTGAACCTAAACAAACAAAGTTATTGATTAACTTAGGGAGGCCACCCCCAAAATTGGATGGACGGGAATCAACAGTTTCTTTTGAAGAATTTCAAAAGAAAGCCAAAGAAAATATGTTAGTGTTGATGTTGGTATGGGTTTTTTTTATAAGCTGCTTTAAAACTGTACCAAATAGTTTTAAATACTGTAGGTAAAACTTAGTAAAAACTTGTTTAACGTTAAAAACGTTTGTGGAAAAACAACTGAGGTGTAATTGACCAAAGATGTTAAGCTCTGGGGCATAATGTTTTGTTTTTTTTTATACTGTGTACAGAGAAAATTCAAATGGGATGGATTGAGATTTTCATTTTGTTAAAGGGGGATAAAATATGTTTTCCTTGTCCAGAAAAAGAATTTTATTTTGAGTCATATGGAAACACAGCTACGTACATAAAACTAATCTTTTATAAACAATTCTAATAATTTGTCAAAAACTAGTATTGCAGCAAATGAAAAATTACTCAAAACTAATGATGTTCCGTGACAGTTGTACAATCACTTACAGTTTGTGAGTATTGGACGGCCCGGTCGGGAAAGTACTTGTAGACTAGACGTCGGCCGGCCAAGTGTGAGAGGAGATAACAGAAGCTAGCGCCTGTTGCGGAACAGAAGCAAACCAGCGTCAACGCCAAGGGGAACGGGAACAGAAATCCTGACAAGATAGACAGTGATATCGATCCTGGGATTGCAAACGTCTGTAGGCTGATAGTGGAGTTAAGGAAGAACACTAGTCCAAAATATTTCAGTTTTAAGCTTGGCACAACAAACCTAAATTAAACAAACTAACCAGAGTTGTAGTAAGTCAGTGGCTCACTCGATGGTGCAACGATCTGTGGAACTGATGCTGAGATATCTCAGGTTCACCTCCTGAGCCGCCATTTAAATTTTATTAGTACAGTTTAATCTTGTACAGCATTGGCTCACCCCTTACATTTTTTAAGAGGTTGGCAGTCTCTTTTATACTTGAATTTGCCTGTCCACATAGACTAACTGCCTGTGTGTGGATTGTATCCAGCAAAGCAAGGGGTGAGCTGGTATAGTACAGCGACCAGGCTCCGAGCCCACAATATCGCTGCCTTGGGCCCGAAGTCCGTGACGCTACCGACTGAGCTACCGACTCACTATTTAAAGTTGTTTGACACATTCCATGCACAGGCTTTTGAGACTCAAGCGGACGAGTAGAAGAGAAAAAGAGAAAAAAATCTCTTTTTCTAATGTAAGTTTTTTTAACACCTTAATAACATTAGTTAGCCTGTACAAAATGCACTCATGCATAACCAACAATCAGTCCATATATTTAACCAATTTTGGGATGCCTTGTTATTTTCCCCTGAATAAGGAATTTCTTAGGTGAATAGCAAGACATTCCCATACATCCCATTTATCCTAAATAGCTTAGACATAAGAATTAGAGATGGTAAAAACCACTAAAAATGCAATAATATCATCATGAACGTTCCTAACGTCAAGGACGTTACAGATGGTCATCATTAATAGGAAGACAGGATCTGCGTTATTTCACTCGCTCGTTCCAACAGTACAGACGACGCTAGTCATATTACCAAAGTTGCGTTGCTCACCATTAATGGGAAGACAAAAACAGCGTTATTTCACTTGCTCGATCTAACTTTGCAGACAATGTTACAAAAATATTCTCAGGGAATTCTCAGTAATTTATTACCAGGGTATTATTTGACGTAGTATTATTTATTGCATTACGTTAAATAACACCCACATTAATTGGCTTTGAGGCTTAAAGGGCTAATGAAGAATCACTTAACCCGACTATCCCAAAGACTAATCACATATTTTGTCCTACTTTTACATCCTAGGACGCTAGGTTTTAGCCTGGGACTGTTTTACACACTACTTCAGGCTAGTGCTAGAGGGTCGTGGCATTATCACATAGAGATAAAATCCATTGGTGATTGGAAGGATTTGAACCCGGGACCTCAGGCTCTGAAGGCCTACGCTCTACCACTAGATCAGCGGACCAATGACTAACCACAATGGAAGGATACAATATGTAGGTGACGACGACGGCAGCAAGGACCTCGTAGTAGTTACGGTCCTTGTGTTTCTCCAACACTCGTCCCAGCTGTTTGGCTTCCTCCACGTCCCACGGTAACTTGATGTACTTGCGTTCCTCTCTGAAAATACAATTCAGTTAGAACACGAAAAAACCTTTTGGTGTTTTATTTGTTTAAGACTCCATCTCTCATGCTGATTTGTTTCAATTTTTAGAATGTTTAAACGCCTGTGTTTTAAACACATTCGCTTACAAATTTCACTTCTGAAGATTAAGACTTTTCATTTGAGCTTAGCAAGAAATACTATTTTATGTAGAAAGTGACAAATAAAAAAACACTAATTAGTATTTTGGGAAGCATAACTTATTCCTCATATTGCAGGGGTAATTATTAATTTTTGATCATTGGTAAACAAAAAAAGTTAATATGGTAGTTGTAAAATTAGTAGTGACACTTTATAGCTAAGTACTAGCTGTTTCTTCAAAGTTAGCCTGAAGTCTTAATGTTGATTATTAAGTTTTCATCTATTAACTAACCCCACACTCGTCAAGATCAAGATAGGACAAGTAGGATTACTAATTATAACCTGCAAAGCATTTACAAATTTGTCAATATACTCACGGCTCAAGCTCCGGGAAGCTGAAGTAGATGTAGGTGAGTGTGAGAATGGAACTGAGGAAAATAGCAGTAATGATGAGAACAGCTGTTCGAGTACTCACACTATCCGAGACATTCAGTTGGGACTCAGCTGAAAAATTACAAACAGGTTGAATGAAGTCTCAAATTTTCAGGAATTAAAAACTGTCGTAAAGGATTATAAATTATGTTCATGACTTCCAAGCTTTCATGATTCTAAAACAATCCACATATTTTCTGGCCCCTAGACTCTTTGCCACTCGGCTATCTAGACAATGGTTTAGGTTGGGTAATTTAAATCTTGGTTCTACTACTTTTCCGAATTTAGATATAACTGATCAAATTAAGCTACTTCATGGTATCAATAACACATTGACTTAATATGAGCGTATTCAAAGATTGGAAAAAATTCACATCCTTTGAGAATAGACCTAGCATAAACCATTGAGGTGTTGATTTCTTTTAAACATAACAAATACAGAGTGCTTCATGAACAGACTCTGTATATATCCACATAGAAGTAAGGTACAGAGGAAACACTCAATGGTAAACTTAAATGGTGTCAATCACTAGTGCTGGTGTCTAGGGCAAAGTTCAACATCACACTGGGACGGGTGGTGTTGTCCTGTAATCCATCTACTAGGAGGTTACGAATTGTGTATATTTATAGGCATGCACTGTGGATGCGATAGGCTACTCCCTGGTGTGGATTTAAGTCCCCACGAGTGAGTACTACGACTATCCGCAGTCCTATCCAGAAAATTAGACCAATTCGTATATACCAAGGCAAAAATGTGGTTCGTATTCCACTATAAACTGTAGGTCCCTTAGTTGCCATTAACTGTAGGGGCTATTAATTAACAGCTGTGTCTAAGGAATAAGTCGGCCTTAGTCACTAACAAGACTACAAGATCGCGTCACTCATCCTACACTCATCTCCACTCATACTTGGCTTAAAATACCTACTTTGTATGGTCACCATTTTATTGTAAAGTATTAAAGCATTAAAGTAACACCTTCTTGCTCTCATTTCAGGCCAACTACAACACTCACAGTAAAGGAAGACCCTGTGCGATAGGGTTGTCCGCACTGTGCTCACCACTCGGGCTCTTCCTTTCGTCACAAATACGGTACATTTCCGGCACAACATACTAGAGCTGAAAGCGCACGGTAGCCGCATAAGCTTGAACGTTTCCTCTGTACCTTACTTCTCTGTGGTATAACCAATAAGTGGGTACTAAAGGTACTAGTACAAAAATATTGGTACCGTAACCAATGCTGTTGAGTTGGTTTTTACAAAATCACTGGAAATAACCTAAGCTGTAATAGTAAATTTAAATTTTACCAATAAATAAATTGTTAAACCTTTGTCATTAAATTCCAAATGCTGCCTAGCTTGAGAATTTTGACATGTGTTCACACTAGAACTTATACTGATTTCACTCAATTTACTAACAGTATTAACAAACCGCTGTTTGCTCAACTTAACCCCTCGTTTTTGCATTGAAAAATTAACACTAAAACTGCACGAACATTCACACAATCTAAAATAAATATGTTTCATAAATGATTTGCGGCTTCTTGGAATTCCTCCCTCTTGTAGGATTTTGCGATAGTACACTCTGTAAGCAAGATACAAAAGTCGCCATTGAGTTGGACCGACAATGATCACTAGACTCGGTTTGATCATGTGCTCAAACTAAAATAATCACCTGATGAACAATTTTCACTGCAGGTGTAGAACAGATGTTTGTCTCTGCCAATAGTTATTAATTGAAACTGTGTCGTATCAAGTAACAAATTGAAACACTTGCTCAAGATGCACAACAAGTAGTGTTACTTTAGCCAAACTGTACAGCCAAATTTTACTCTCATTTTAAAAGTTATATAATTTAAAGTTTGCAACAACTTTCAAGAGTTAACATTTGCTTGGTGGATACCATCAGCTAAGGTTTGAGAGAATTATTCAGATTTTTTAATGAGATCTAAGCTTAAAATCACCTTGTTATTTTGTACACAATTCATTATGGTATCTAGAGACTGTTATTTTATTTAGGCTAACAAAAAATAACAAAATCTGTACAAATATTTTAAGCTGAATTGAGCATATTCTTCACAGACTTTTTGCCAAGAAGGAAATGTCTTTAAAATAATATTTAAGGTAACCAATATATTAAATTACATTTTAAATTTTATGCTGGGGATATAAACTTTACAATCCAAAAGAAGGACGTGTGTTTGTTTTCTAGATATAAAATTTATCTAACTTAAATGTTTTTGATGTCTGATTGTCTGACAACTGTCTGATTGTCCAAGAATGATGATAATATCACAATCTTCTAAGCAGGCCTAAGTGTTTTTTTAAACTCTGCTGATTTGATTCATTATACTCCTGCACAGGTTTTTTTTCTGCTCCAGTGGCATTTTTAATTTAAGTCATAGCTTAGTTTATATTTTATAAAAAATGTATATAACACCGCTCTAGAAACCGTGGTATTTGGGTCACCTTAACAAAATTCACCCCAAAATAACTTAAAGCATCAATTAATTATTAACACCATGCTCATCTGCTTTGATCTAAATATATTCCATGGAAACATATAAATAGCATACCAAAAAATGATGGGTAGATATAGGACAAATTGTTGGGGATAGGTACGAAACTGTCTCTTCTTGGTATTAACAATTTTAACGGAAAGTGGTCCAAAACTATAAAGTTTGCGTATGTGCTGTGAATCAAACCCGCCCCTCCCGCACCAAGTCTATGACGCTAACTGCTAGGCTAGCAACACATCCAAGTTTTAACAAGCTATAGATCATTAAGTAGGTTTTGAAAAAAATTTCAGATAGGTACACGGAACGGAAACAAAGGGCACTGAAAATATTTAACAGACAAATTAGTAGGCCTATGGTTTTTTCTCTCTTTTTTTGGTCCTAAGACAATAGGCACGAGCCCAGAATTTTTTTCCCATTACTACAGGCTAGACCTAGGGGTTACGGCATTATCACTTAGATAAAATCCATTAATGATTTGGCTGGATTTGAACCCGGGACATCAGGGACCGAAGTCCACGCTCTGACCACTGCTGACTGAAAAAATACTCAATTTCTACATTTGAAAAAAAAGATCGGGGGTCTTTATTTTTTTTTTTGCATTTGACTTTCCACAGACTTTTGGTCAGTTATTCGATCATAACACACAAAGCAAGGGTTGAACTGCCACCGACTGACTTGTTATACCACATTTCAAACTTTTTGCCTTATTGTTTATCTGTTTTTGTTAGTTTCTAGGCCAATGGATTTTCAATTAAAGCATCACAAACGATTTAAGAGAAAGTAATCCACACCCCTAAAAAGTATTGCAAATATGCCAGGAATTGAACCGTCCCTCCCGCATCCAAGTCCAGGAGGCTAACAACTAGACACCCACTGGCTTATAGGACTTTACTAACTTAGGTCATAGAAAACATACTAGGGTACTATAACCCAGAATGCCAACCGCATGGTAAAAAGCGTTAAGTACTTTGAGAGAGCTTAGCCTGTCAATTCGTAGGCAGCGCCACCAACGTTGCTATGCTGTAGTATTTTTTCTGTGCTTAGGTATTCTACATTGAAAAGATCTTTGGCATAATTTTGATGATAAAACATTAGCCTACAGTATTGAAACTTTGAAACTTATGCTTTATGCAACACTAAATAGATTAACCTACTAAATTGAAATATAACACAAGAGTAATAAACTTGAGAAAATCATGGTTGAAATGATCATTAATGTAATGGATAGGCCTATTAAAAGAGTGTTGAAAATTTGCAACAATACCGGTACCGTAGCCTATAAAGAACTCTTTTAATTTAAAACCACTTCTACTCTACAGCTATGTTTACATATATTTTTATATATTTTCGTAAGGTAAAAAACATAGCTGTCTTTTCGTCCCTTCAAAATCATTGTTCTCCAATTTTCACCTTAATTGTGTAAACCATCTTGTTATTTTAGTAATTTGAAACCTCGTTTAACCAAATAAAACAATCTAGAGGCTAACCAAACAATAACTCGTAGGTACCCTAACTTAGTTATGATAGCAAATCAGTGAAGCACAAATCATGAAATTAACCCTAAAATAATACAAACAAAATTTTGTCAACACCAGCGATCAGTGGCCCCAAAATGAACTAGACACGTAGCCTAAACGAGCTTCAAAATTTACAATGGGATCAATCAAATCAAATCATGCAAAGGGATGCGAAGTCTACTTGTGTTGGTTAAGAATGTTGATGTGATGAGAACCCTAGCACCATTATCGCATAAAAAGAAGGCATAGGCTATCATTAAACTTACAAGAGCATGATAAAATTGTTAAGTTAGGCTGCCAGTTTCACGGTAGGTAGATAAGTTATAACATTTATTTTGAGTATCCCTCACCGAACGCCTAGGCCTACTTTTAAGCGTAGTTTAGTAAGTTAAAGCCTATATTTTTTTTTTAAAGATGTGATCTTGACCTGCCCTGCTGCTGACTTAGTCACACTCTGAATTCCTATCCATTGCTATTTTGCTTTTTAATATGCGGCGGAAAGAAGACAACGCTACGCCATAGTTTGCTCAGTCGACCGTTATACTCCTGGCAAGAAATGTTTGACGAGCCTCTAGTATTTGAAAATAATACCGCCATACCCGCCATTGTTGCTTAGTTGTATGTAGGCCTATAGTGTTTTTAATGTTTTAAATAAATAGGCTAATGTAAATAGACGCAATCTATGGTATCCAACCTTGTTGGTCAAAGATGAAGAAACCGAGTATTCAAGTATTTTTAAGCGAGGGAGCGGACCAAAACCCAGATTTTATAACAAATTTATATAACACCGCTCTAGAAAGCATATCTAATCAGTTGTGTTTTTTTGGGTCACTTAACAAAGTTCGCCCCAAATAACTTGAAGCATCAATTAATTATTAACACCATCATCATCTGCTTGGATCTGAATCATTTTGTAGAAGTCTAACTTATATTAGGAAACAAATTAATAGTATACCAACAAAATGATGGGTAGATATAGGAGAAATTGTCGGGGATAGGTTGGAAAATGTCTCTTCTTATTCTAGGTCTTCTATTCTAATTGGTACAAGGTGAATGATTTAGGTACGAGAATGTACTGTAACTTCAATGGATAATTCACCTGTATCAACACGTACGGTCCCCATAATAGTTTGTACTATAGTAATTGACTGATAATTCACAATCTCATTAAAACATTAATTGAAAACACAATTCCACATTACAATTCAATATTTGTTACAGTGTTGCAGACGACATAACGAAAACGAATGACGACGACGATTAACGACAATCACAACACCGTCGTGAAGTTAGCGGCTCTTTTCATCGGCGCTTTTTCGGTTTGTAATAGATGTGGGTTGGTACTCCTGCGGATGCCACAAACGTGTTTTGCAGGGATGTCGGAAACACAATTCAATGACAATACGGTGCGAAATGATGTTTTTATATTTATATAATGTCAATAATACATTGATAAAACGTGTATACAAGTTAAAACTAATTAATTGACGTATTTTAAAAGGCATATTTGAGACCGTAGTGTACATTATACGTAGCTATGGCTTAACATAATGCGATCAATTAAAACTCCGAACATAAAAAGTGCATAATCTTTTTTCCCAAGCCCATCACATCAACTTTGAGCTATTCTAATGGTAATATACAATGTGTAGAATACTCAGTATAAATATGATTGAGGCAGTCCAGTGAATTACGAAGCTATAAGGCAAAATGTATATGGTTGATAGTAACTCGTATCAGGAAAAAGTGCACAATCTTTTTCCTAAGTCCATCACATCAACTTTGAGGTATTCTAATGGTAATGTACAATGTGTAGAATACTCAGTATAAATATGATTGAGGCAGTCCAGTGAATTACGAAGCTATAAGGCAAAATCTATATGGTTGATAGGAACTCGCATCAGGAAAAAGTGCACAATCTTTTTCCTTAGTCCATCACATCAACTTTGATGTATTCTAATGGTAATATACAATGTGTAGAATACTCAGTATAAATATGATTGAGGCAGTCCAGTGAATTACGAAGCTATAAGGCAAAATCTATATGGTTGATAGGAATTTGCGTCAGGAAAAGTGCACAATCTTTTTCCTAAGCCCATCACATCAATTTTGAGGTATTCTAATGGTAATATACAATGTTTAGAATAATCAGTATGAGTATGATTGCGGAAGTCCAGTGAATTACGAAGTTATATGGCAAAATGTATATGGTTGATAGGAACTCGCATCAGGAAAAGTGCACAATCTTTTTCCTAAGCCCATCACATCAACTTTGAGGTATTCTAATGCTAATATACAATGTATAGAATAATCAGTATGAGTATGATTGCGGCAGTCCAGTGAATTACGAAGTTATATGGCAAAATCTATATGGTTGATAGGAATTTGCGTCAGGAAAAGTGCACAATCTTTTTCCTAAGCCCATCACATCAATTTTGAGGTATTCTAATGGTAATATACAATGTTTAGAATAATCAGTATGAGTATAATTGCGGCAGTCCAGTGAATTACGAAGTAATATGGCAAAATCTATATGGTTGATAGGAATTTGCGTCAGGAAAAGTGCACAATCTTTTTCCTAAGCCCATCAC